TAGTTAGTAGTAGTTAGTTATTATATTAGTGTGTGTGTGTGTGTGTGTGTGTGTGTGTGTGTATGTATGTATATATATATATATATATTCACATACAGAAATATTTATACACATACCAATCTCCGACAATGATGGTATACCTAAGAAATACACAAACATAGCACATCCACTCATTCAATAGATGATATAACATACCTGGATGCAGATCGCCATGGACGAAGTTGTCCTGTAGCGCCATCTTTAGGAACGCCTTTAGCCCAGCCCGCGCGAGGCTCTTCCGCTTAACTGAAGAGGCAACGGAATCATCTCTGAGAAGCACAGGATGGCGCACTAAGTTGAGAATCATCGGTTGCAAGCACTTGAACGTCGCGAATATATATGTGAGATTAAAATGTGTGTATTAAATATATGTAATATGTATTTAATGTATGTGATATTTTGCATTAAATATATGTGATATGTATGTATGTGTGTACAAAGATGGATCGGGTGAATATTGTAGTAACTTTCAACTGCACGCGTGAACACATGTATCTGTATATTCACACCCGTACTGTATACACAACGATATGATGGTAGGATAGCACACATTACTATATACACAACGATATGATGGTAGGATAGCACACATTACTATATACACAACGATATGATGGTAGGATAGCACACATTACTATATACACAACGATATGATGGTAGGATAGCACACGTTCCTATACATACACATATCCCAGTACATACTACATACACAAGCCGGTAAACAACAGACCACGATGTAAACTTACTTGATCGAGCTCCGCGCGCCTTTTCCTAAGAATTCGGATATGGGTGTGCCCTCGATGTGTTCTTCCACCAGCACACAGTCGGAAACAAACGGGTAGTAAGGCTCTGGGAAGGAGATGGTCTGATCGCTCGCAAAGTTGGCCCGGAATCTGATATGCGCAAACCAACAACATATTTTAAACAGTACTTAGTACATTTACTGGTGGCTACATGAACTGCCTGTATTCGACTTAGTCGGCCGGGGTTGGAGACTCGGCTACGTTAATGGTATGGCGTATGAACGTTAACTACATGGCTTATAAATGCAACACAGCTATCCACCAAACAGTGTCCGTTGTATGTGTCAGATGGTCGGCAAGCGTACCCTGACCAAAACGCTTTATATCACATTGCCGCTTAGTCTGACGTTGCCGTTTCAGATATCATAGCTCTAGACTATTGCCTGACACGAATAATAACACAAAATATATATCTTCATATAACACAAAATATACAACTTTATATCGCACAAAACATTTTTCGTAATATAAATTGCAACATATACCCTCCAAATACCTTACAATATATATCTTCATATAACTATATATCACTGACAGAAACATACCTCTCCAGATGGTCGGCTTCTATCCGCAAATCTATTTGTTGTCGCATCACCTTTGAAAACTGTGTGACACTGTTCACGAGACCAAACCACTTCATGCCTGCAATCAAACAACAAGGCATCAGCTTAACCGACGGCTACCACGAACTTTAGAGTAGATCTCCGTACGAACTGGATACCCCCCAAGCCCTTCGATTGGTAGTAGAGTTATGGTAGCAATAGTTACTTGGACAAGTGCATGTTTACTAGCACACAAACCTTCAACCCCCTAACAGTGTATTGGGATGACTGGATGCCCGCGATACCGGAACATCACGTATTGTTTTTCAATTCAGATATCACTTACGTTGAACAGATTTCCATCAGTCGTGTGATAAATGTTAGGAAAGTATACGTATGCCAACACGATATAACGTATACACACACATGCACCAC